TTGCCTGAGCCCGCGGGTTCGAGACCCGCCTGGGCAGCAAGACTCATCTCTACAATAAATCAAAAAATCAGCTGGGCGTGTAGCACAGGCCTGTAATTCCGGCTACTCGGAAGGCTGAGTTGGAAGGATCGCCGGAGCCCAGCAGGTCGAGGCTGCGGGGGCCGGGAGCGGCCATTGCACTCCAGTCTGGGCAACAGAGTGAGACTCCAACTCAAAAAAAAAAAAGATCAGTTTGTGTTATTCAGTAATTTATATCAGACGTTCTCTATCTTCAAAAGGATAAAAAGAGGCAAAGACTGAACAGAACTCCTACATCTGGGTGATTAGTGTAATTATAGCTACATTTAAAAGGAAACCAAAAGTTAAATTTGCTTACTGTCATGGATGCTAAATGAGTGCTTGACTCAAATATTGAAGTATGTTTGCTGAAATGATCCTTGAAGTTTGTTTAAAGTGAACAATTTTTTTCTATTTTTCTTTATTATTTTAGAGTTTGGGGTGCAAGTGGGGATTTACTAGGTTGCATGCAGGTGAAGGTTGGGCTTCTAACTGACCCTCTTTCCCCGACTGCAGCTGTAATGTGCCCACCTCTCTCCTCCCTCCCTCCCTCCTCTAGCAGCGTCTAGTGTTTGCTGATCTCGCCCATGTGCTACTGTGGCTAATGTTCAGGGCCTGCTTATGAGTGAGAACATGTGGTATTCAGTTCTTTGTTTCTGCAATAGTTCTAAAATGAACAAATTTTAATATTTTAGATAACTAAGTGAAAATTATAATTTTGTGTGATAGTTTTTTCAGACCTAGCAGTTTAAATGAAACAGCACTTTATTTCTGAGAAGAAAAGAGATGAGTGGGAGACCATGATTTCACTTTAAAGAAATTGGCAGTCAAGAAAATTTTATTAACAGATTTGTCCAACCTAGTTTAAGAAAAAGTTGATCCTGAACATAGAAATTGTCAGATTTTCTCTAGCAATTTAAAAATGTGTTAGTGACAAAAATCAGCATGCAAACAGGGCTGTCAGTGCATGAGTACTTACTTGTGCTGCTTGGAGAGGTATGTTAACATACTAGTAGCTATGAACTTGGCTTTATGCTTAACTTCAGGCCAAAGTTAAACTTAAGAGATTGAATGTGATTGTGCTGGCCTTCTATCAACAATTTTCTCTACCTTCCTGTAGACTGGATCAATCTCAGAGATGGGCCCATCACCATTTCTGACTCCTCTGATGAGGAAGGGATTCCAATGCTGGTCACCCCGGCTCCTGAGCAACATGAAGAAGGGGACCTGGATGATGATGTCATCCTTACAGAAGTGAGTTTTCTTAAACTTACCATTAGGTATTGCAAGTTAGTGGTCTGATTTTTCAGCACTCTGTTGTCCAACTGAGAGCATGCCTTGACACTTGTTCTATACATATTTCTGAGAATAGCCCCCTTTTTATTCTGCCTAATGTTCCCTTAGAAATTAGAAATTTATGTTTTAGTCTGTCCCTGGACTAAACTTCTGCAACATTGCTTCATCTGACTATTCATGCTCCAGTCTGCACTATTGTAATTGCTACAACATTATATTGTATCTTATTGTCTGGTAGGGCTTATACTCCACTTGCTTTACATACATCTGTTAAATGAGCAAGCAAGCTCAACCACTGATCACAAGCAAGCTTAGCCACTGGTTGCAAGCAGGCTCCGCTACTGGTTGCTTGTGCACTGAAATAAATAAGCATGAGATGTAGTGGAAGGAAGGTGATTTTATTCCAAAAGCCAGCAGATGAGTAAAGGGCCAGTTTATGCCTCAAAAAAAAAAACATTTCAGGTTTTTAGGCTGACTGCAAGGGCTTGAAAAGGGAAACTTGGTATGGGAAGAATACAGGTGTGACAATCTGGGTATGCCATTTATAGGTTATGGTGTTCTCCTAATTATTGTGTATTTCTTTTGAGTTTTTATTGTTCCAGTTGGAGAAAGACCATTGGCCGTTTTACTGGTAGCTGTATGGAAACATTTAAAACTTTTTGAGGATATGCAACACACCAGGAATACTACTGTTGCAGCTACAGGAGGATAATACCAAGAGTTCAGATGGAGTGTACTCCTTAACCAGGGTCCCTATAAACCAAAGTAAATTGAATAGCCAGACAAGGATCTCCCCCTTTAATCAAGTAGTCTGCTCTACAGTACTCACGGTATTTATCTTTGTGCAATAAGACGTATCATCAACAGCACAGATTCCTCTTTATTCAGTTAGTAGGCAACCTATAGCATCCCATGACTGGGTTAAATTAAAGTGGGGAGTACAAGTTACCTGTAGAGATTACTGATTGTGAAATTTTAACTACAGCATTATCCTGCCAGGTGAGAGACATAAATAAGGAAAAAGAAGAAAAAAAAAAAAATATATATATATATATATTTTTTTTTTGTCTGATGCATAGGCCACATAAAGAGTTCACCAAAATGTCTGATGTCACAACCAGAGACATTCAAACTATAAACCAGGACAAGAAGTTGTCAACTTCATGCTGTGAACAGCTTTTTCCAAGACCATCAGAGCAAGACTATATTCACAACCAGACTCTTACTTCTCTTAATTTTTCCTTATTGGCCGGGCTTAGTGGCTCAGCCTGTAATCCCGTGCTTTGGGAGGCCAAGGTGAGTGGATTGCCTGAGTCTGTGGGTTCGAAACCCACCAGGGCAACTTGGCAAGACCTCATTTCTACAATAAATCAAAAAATTAGCCGGGCATGGTAGCGCACACCTGTAATTCCAGCTACT